ATACTACAATTTATTTAATTCAGGTTTAGTTATATTTCAGGGATAGTCACATACGGTATAAGGAAGGATTAAATATTAAAAGATTCTCAAAGCATATTAATTCTAAAAAAGTTCCTAGCCCTTGTTGTAACGATATAAGCTGATTCTCGGTAAGCAACGATACATTATATATTATAATGCGTGATATCGAATGATATGTGTGCGGTGATAGAGTACGATATGTATGTCGTCGATCGACAATTACAAATATGAATGCCTACTCATTGACGTTTGGTCATATAAAAATCGCAACAAACTATAATATTATTAGAATACTATTTTTTTTTTTTTTTGGCGAGTTTCATGACGTTTTTCCTTTGAAAAATAGGTGTCTACGTAGTATCATCGTATTTATATTGTGCATATTTTAATGATATATTTGTATTTTACGGTGTGTGTGTGTGTGTGAGTGAAAATGTGTGTGTGAAAGTGTGTATGATGAACAGTAATCGCGTAGTTATAATATTATTTTTTAATATTATGATAATTTAGGTAAAAATAATGTGTTTACCTCTGGGATGACGACGATGATCCAGCTGTTTGACGATCTCGACGACGTTGGACACAGTGTCACTGAAGCCGATCTCGTGTGGATGGTGACTGTGGTGATGATAGTGGTGAGATTGTTGATGGTATCTCCTGATTGGCGACGGGGTATGACGCTCTCTACTGTGTTCACCGCGAATGGCAATAACATAACACATAATATAATAATCAAGTTAACAGGGTTTGCGGTAAATAAACAGGGCCAGGGAGACCCCGTCCTGCACTCGTCGTACATCCCCCCACTCCTAATCGATAAATTTAGTTTTTTTTTTTTAAATTTAGAAACCCATAATATTATATGAATAGGATAGAAGCTTTGAGGAATGCTTTAAGAATTTTCTGTTGCAGTATAATAATATGATCCGAGATTAACAACTTTTAAGTTAAACGATCCTTTGCAGGGGCGAGGCGTACATTTTTATTAAAATAATTGTATGGTTTTTTGTATTCCATTTGGTTTGTCACCGATCGCCATCGGCGCAGACCCTAACAGCTGTATAGACGACAAACCGCAGTTCACGTGGGACGGGAATTCGCAATGCTTATCATGGGTGTAGGGGTGGCGGGTTTTGTTCAGACTGTCAGTCGTGTAGGTCCCACATTCGTGTGTGCACGGCCCCCAGGACCGAATTCTAAATAAACAAATATTATGATCACGCTTATTGGTCTCTACCCGGCACCAGTGAGGTTCGAACGCGGTAAAGACCTATATTAACCGACACGAAAATGCTTAAAGGGTCTCGATACTGCCGTCAATTTTAGCTAAAAATACCGTAAGTTTTGAAAAAATTAAAGTTACTTTACGTTGTCTGATTTTAAATCTAAAAAAAATTTGAACTCAACAGAAAATTGTCTATAGATGTACGGAAAACTTTGTACAAATTGCATCTTATATAATATTATTGTGAACAACTGTAAAAAAAACTCGAAAATGTTTTCAAATCATAGTTAAAATTGAAAACTATCGAAATATGACCAACATTCCCAACCCCTGGACCTCTCACCCGCAATTACGCAATACACGTGGTGTAATGAGGGTGTCATGTCTGACGGACATTGTACAACCAAAATATTATACCACTCGTATGGTTGTCGGCGGTTGACCGCTTACCGTATGCTCGGCGATCGCGATCTCTGTTGTCTGTAACCGGGATGTAAGTGCATACCCTGGTGCTGGGGCTGTTGTCCGTCGGAGTTGGAATCTTCGGACGGCCTCCGCGATGAAATCACCACGTCTGTCAGCTCCATCACCTGTAAATCGCCCATGCCCTAGTGTATAAATATACTGTTCCTGCGTGTACACGGCGTACGCGGACGTTAATACGAACAATATACGAATAATATTATATCATCCATATAATAATATAATATTGTATTATGACGTATTAGCGGCGGTTATGCTAGTATTTATATTATATAATAATGTTTGTTTTATTTACACGTATTATTACATTATGATAATGTAATGGAAATGCTGTTGGAAAATCAAAACAAATAATAATGGTTTACCAATAATGATAATAATCATAAAAATAATCATAATAAAAAATGGATGAAAATAAAACATAACGAAACCTAGTGTATAATATTATTATGTAGGTATATATAATAACAATTAAGTTTTCAGGAACAGAAAAAAATAAAAAAAAAAACACCTCATCTCTCGATTAGAGCCGAAAATAAATATTTTATAATATATTATGTATATTATAATAAATTTACACACACGGCAGTACTTTTCCGGTAGTATTTACTCAACGAGTAATATAATATTATTATAAGGGACGAGTCCTGCATTCAAAAAAAAACAAAAAGTTATAATAATTATAATAACAGCTATCCCGGCGGTAGGCTATAGTGTTATCGAGATTTTTTTTGAACGAAAAGAAAACTACGGTAAAACACAAAAACAAAAACAGTATACGAAAACAAAAAAATTAAAATTAAGTATTATAGGGTAGTGCTGTTAAATCGTACATATTGTTGTTTGTATATTTAAATTTCGTGAGGGGATCGAAAAATAATAACAAAACAAAAACGGCGGGAGTTATTTAAAATTATTTCACCAACCGACCACAGTTCTATATATATATATATATTTATATATATAATATGTATAATGTTAATAATGAAAAAAAGTGGATAAGATGTTGAAAAGTGCATGCAAATTTTGCGCCACATGCATCGTGCAAAATTAAAGTCTATAAATATTATAAATATAATAATAGTTAGAAATACATGTACCTAAATATAACATAATAATTATTAAACATATTAATCAATCTTATACATCTATCCTGGAATAATATTATATAACAACGGACAAATAGTGTCCGTCCAACACTAAACAATAATATTCAGTATATACCTACGATATAGAATATAACAATATAACAATACCTAATAACAATAATAATAATAATAATAATATAATATTACCTTAATGGCATACCTACCTAAATTAAAAATATATAATATGTATGCTACATAATAATAGTGATATCCTTACCAAGTCAACAAATAATAATGATAATAATAATAATAACTGTAATAATAATAATAATAATGATAATAGTAAATAAATCGTTCTAAATCATCTAAACTCTCTATAAATATTTAACATGTCGTTTTCGTTTCAACGAAGGGTCTCGAAGTGAGCGTATAATATATATATATACACACACACACAAATATTAGATATGAGATATATATATATATATATGTATACGAATATATACTTAAGAGAGTTCCATCAAGTGACTAGAGTCTATGCAACCACACAAAAAAGGTCTAAATATACAATTAAATGTATTATCGAAATCCATAGTTTCCGAAAAAAAAGTCGAAATTCAAGAGTTCTACGTATATAAACGAAATACAAAAATATAACAACATATAAAATTTTATTTTATATTATTGTATATATATTAAAATATAAATCAACCAAGGAGTAAAAAAACACAACGTATCTATTTCTCAGGGGGAGTTAATAAAATCTCAAACCATCAAAATATACCTTTTCTAAAATATCGCCACGTCTCCTCCTCAAACGTTTGGATTGCGTTATATACCGCTGAAAATACACAAACACAGAACCGTTTTACACACAGATTGTAGTCACTTGACACAATTAAACATTATGGCACTTGTGGAATCAATATCATCAGTTAACTAGGTATATATATATATAATATTATATTATTATCATGTTGTAAGTATAGTGCGTAGGTATATCATATTATTAAATTATGTACATACGTTGTTGGACCATAGAAATCATATTTTCATTATTTTCAGATTTTTAGATTGTATATAAAAGTAAGGTACTCTTACGCATGTATAATTAATAAATACTAAATGTAGGTATGCTATAAAATATCGTATGCGTTAGTATTAATAATAATCGCCTACAGTCATTAATAATCGTCTTACAAGTCTCGTCGTTGTGCGTTCTAGACTTAAAATATATAAAACGGGACAGGGTGAACTCTCTAGGGGTCGGGTTGACGTATTCATGAGTAAATATTACTTGGTCATACGGTCATCACCTTTTTAGACCTGAAACAAATAAAACCATCCGTCAAAGGTATATTAGACAGCTAAGTTTAAAACGTCACCGGATTCGGCGAGCAAATGATGACATAGGTACTACTACAAACGACAACACACACGACACCATTAAACATTCCATTTGCCACATCAATACCCGTGTAGACTGGCCCACTGGTCTACAGCCTTAAAGGACAGTATTCCCTTGAACCATGGGGGCACTGGGCTCATCATTAAAAAACGCAAAGGGGCCATAATTGAGGGATTAAAACTTAATTATGTTCAACTGTAATTTACGAATTTGATAATAATTTCTAATTTTATAGAATACTATAAACCGATACTCCTTGATGATTATATTATTGGTTAATTTACAGTTGGAACATTGAATAAATATGTTTAATCAATGATTGGAATTATGTTATTTTTTAAGTAAAATTGTAAAAATACTAATAGCTCCTCTGAATTTTCGTGAAGTTTTTCTATAGTGGAGGTCAATCGGCTCTTACAAACCTAGTCCAAATCCTCGATACCAAATAATATTGTATTCGTAAAGACGTGTTGTTTAACAATACATAGCCATTTGTTTTTCTTGTACGTATAGCTAACAGAAAATTCAAAACATTTTACGTATTCATATCATAATTATTCATTAAATGTTATTGTTATTACAGATAACGACAATTCGAATTAATGAAAATAATAATATCATAACATTTACTCCCGACTCTGTTTTAGAAACATTTAAACAACGTTTGATCGCATATTAATAATTATTATGGCGATATCCGAAAATTGGAATGTAGGTCATGATTTTTCAATATCATAGGTATTGTTTACGAACGCGATATTTCTTTCTATATTTATTACCGGCTCCTGGAGTTGTTCCTGGTCAGCAAACAGCTATTTTCGTCCTCGTCCTGTCCACGTTCCGCGTTCCAATTTGTCGCACCAGCGGCCTCCATCAGGCACGTGAAGAATGATGAGTGCTGTTTGAAATTTTTACACAATAATGTTTTATAGAGAAAAGATAGTATAAAGATAAAATAGTTAACTAGAAATGGAAAAAAACAATAAAAAAATTAGCAAAAAATTACATATAGTAGCTTGTTAGAAGTGCAACAGTGTGCAACTATAGTTTTGTATAGCCTAACCACCACCACATCTCCCTAAAAAAAAAGAAGCTTTGTATGTATATTTTTTTATACGAAGATGTTGTACGAAGCTTTGTCATCAAGCGGGTGTTATGTATAAGCTTAAAAACAGAAATAATAATTTATTTTACTTTTTATTTTCAAATCTCACAATTTATTGTTTTCTTTCTTTCTTTCTTTCTTTTTTTATATATAGTATATATGATATTAATTTTCTTAGTTTTATATTGTTGTCATTTAAATAAAAGGAAAAATAAATATAAATAACAAACCATTGCATTCTAAAATATATATTATATTCTAACTACACATTCACAATATGTATCTATAATACGTAATATAATATAGTTTAATAGTAATAATGTTATTAATATTTCATACATAACATAAATCCGTGCAACTAAAAAATACTGTGGAATTACTTTCTAAGAATGCGGGTACGCAAAAACACAATGCAATAAAAGTCTAAGGCTACGCCGATAAACTAATGTAGTATTTCGTAAGTGTATATAAGTATATATTATTAATAAAAAACGTATACAAAATATATGCGATATTATAAAGAAATATTATGATGAAGTATGCTATGCTAATAGACATATAATAATAATAATAATAATAACATATTATTGAGTGGATATGAAATAAATATATATATAATATAAATAAATGAATAAAAATACGTCTATGTAATCCGCTCTAAGGTATATAATATATATACTGATCTGTTTAGAGACCCGTGCTTATACATGACTGTAATTATATAATTAGTTAAAAATGAATCTATTAAAATAGAAGTACAAAAAAAAAAAAATAATGAAAAATTAGATACAAATAGTATAAAAATATATAAATGTTTAGCGCTATGTAAAAGAATCTAATATAGCCAGCTGAACTGTGGTCTAATAGACGAACAAAAATATGTGTATATGTGTACACGTACGTTACCTATAGTCTAGAATAATTAATATAGTTAGGTAAAATATATAAATATATAAATGTATATATTGTATATCATAAATACATATCACATATATATATGTATATATTATTAAATAAGGGTGTTATAATAATAAATATATTTCAGGTAACTCAGGGGTATTGTTATAATGTGCTTTTAAAAGGACAAGGAGTTGAACGAATAATAAGTTGAAAATAAAATGTAATAAACAATATAAAAATAATAATAAAACAAAAAAAATAATTAAATAAACAAAAAATAAAATAAAAAATTATTGAAAAATAACAAATTAAAATCAACTATAAATCGTGATTGAAATAGAATAATGAATGAAAAACATCGACAATTCGACAACTGTAATATTATTATGATAGTAAAATATTATGTTAATGATATCAAAACACAAGACGAAACGTTGCGAGATAACATTTATTTTGATCTATAGGTACTTGGGATTATAATAGTGATATTACCGAAATATATATTGAACACCGTGTTTTTTGTATAGCTCTGTCAATGTGGGAAATAGTGATTTAAAATTTTTAAATAGTTTGATTTATTGTCTATTACAGACTCAAACGATTTTAAATATTGTTAAGACATTCAATATCGTTTTGATTCCGTTATAGTGAAATGTATAGCTTTGTGACGTCATTGTAAAGTTTAGCAACGTTTCACCTTGGTGGCTACGTAGGTATTATCGTGAAGAATGAAAATGAGAATTGAACGACACGAATAAACAGCTGTACAATGAAAAATGAAATTTAAAATTAAAAGGTAATAATTGAATAAATATAAATACAAAAACATAAACATAAACAAATGAAAAAAACAATAATATGAAACAAAAATAAAATATGAAACTAATGATTAAAAATAATAATAATAATACATTTATATATAAAAATAATTGAATAAACTCAAATAAATACTACCGGCTCTGGGGAACTATGTTCTGCAATGTCCTGAAAGCAAACACATAAATATAAACTGTCTCTATGTCGACTGTTCTCAATTTCCATTTACTAGGTAATTTCGTTCACCCTTTTTCCATGCTCTAAAAAAATATTATGTGTTCTACGAATATTCTAAGCCTAAAAACATCAACAGTGTTCCACGGTTTTATGCCTAAAAACAATTTCGCCTAACCTTCAATATTCTCCACACATTGACAAATTATTATTTTGTGCACATACTACACTAATCAATGACATTATATATATACCTACTTCACTTACTATAATCACCTATCTACTAAAAAAACTGTATTATATATCAAATATATTGTAATATATTATATGTTTAAAGCTATAAAAAAAATTAATCAAAAATAATAAAAAATAATGAAAATGATAAACCTACAACACTTTTATTTGTGTTTTAATATTTCAACTAAACTCGTACTATTACGCTCATATTATTATAATAAAAATCAATCAGTTTTGTTTATTATATATATATACGTATATATTCCAAGGATTTTTTTTTTTTTGAGAAAAGTTTAGGTATCTTACAACACAAAACAAAAAACAAAACAATAATTTAAACAAAAACATATTGTCAAACATGTGTGAACGTGTAAAAGCAAAACGTGTATTTTATTTCGTGTGTTCACAAAGCTCAATGTTGTAAATTTAAAAAAAAAAATTTAGTATCCTCATTATACACCCAAAGTATGAAAACAATTTTGTGGTGGTCTTTTTGTTTTTTACTATAATTTTTTTTACTGTTGTTTTGTAAAGGTATATTAATTATAGTTTGTTTGTATAATAATCTTCAAATTTTCTCTGACCGTGTAAATTACAATTATTTATTATGCGGAAAATAACAAAAATTCATTCACTCACACACAACATTGATTTTTGAACCATCATTAAAATAGTAACAAATAAACAAAAAAACAAAAAAAAAACCAACAGAACAGAACATAAACAATCCGAAATTAAATAATTGTGCATGCGCTGTACACCAACCAATAACAATAATTGTTTCACCAAAACACATCAATGGAAAACATTGTAATGGGTCCAAGGAAAATAAACACGCATCGATATAATAACAGTTCACAACACAAATAATATATATAATATAATATGACAATTCGTAAACAAAAAAAAAAATCAGGGGTAACAGCACTCAAACAATAAACAAAAAAACATAACCGACTTCAACGTACATAAAATGATGTATATATATATTTTTTTTTTGATTTATAGGGTGTTTTTCTTAACATTTGCTAACATTTTTATCGTGTGATTTTCTCACGGGCTGCGATGATATATAATATATAATATGTATAATGAATCTATTATTATATATTTGTTCATCCTACAATATCCTTGTATTTTTTTGATTTTTTAATAATAATACATAATATATGTTTTAATCCTTTTTCAGATATATAGGTAATACTATTGATTTAACTTGGATTAATTAAAAAATTTATATTTCTTTAACTGTAGGTATAATATTCACTAAAAACGTTCAATATGAATTGTATTACCTGTGGATTCGACGATTCGACCTGACCGAATCTCGTGGACTTCCAGCTCTCTAAAATCAACAGACCCGCGTATATCTTGCCTACCGTCAGTTTTCCGGTGTTCAGACCTATACATCAGGTGAAAAATATTTATTTATTTTTTATAATACTCGTCCTGCGTCAACTACAGAAAAAACGAAATAAAACCCACAATCGCTTTTTGGAATGAGCAGGTCCAAAATCTTTCTGGCCTGTAACGGCCATATGTGTCTGATTGTCTCTCTCAATTCTTCGTCCGCCTGGTCCATCTCTTCGGCTGCGGACAGAAATACATATTAATATTATTCACTCACATGCGGCGTCGTAACATACGATTTGACAAACCACACAGATTCACAACAACAATAGTAACAACATCAACACATTATCAATACATTACGCTAACTTACCACATCGCATTTTTATGCTCAGGTTTTCCCGGATGAGCGCGAACAGCGTCGTGGTGAACTGCACCTTTCCGTCCTGGTCGACTGGCATGTTCATCCGGATGAGTTTCTTGTACGCCAAACGGTTGGGACACTTGTTGCCGAAGCCCAATGGAGGATCGATGTTTTTGAGCATATCGTACATTTCGGTGTAGTGTATCTTTCCCCTGCGGTGTGCATAATTACACATAATCGTTACTAATACAGTTTTTTATCTCGTTTCGATATCATTATATTATTTTATCAGGGCTCAAAGAATTGAATTTTTCACAAAACCCCAAACCATGCACGTAATGCATGCCAACCTTTTGCAGTGCACTCAAAATTAAGGAATCGATGGAATATGCGGTCAAAACGTGGGTTGTGGTGGTGTCAAAATCGACCTATTGCAAGATTATCTGCAGATTATCATTTTCAAGATCGAATTTTGAAATTATTAATTGAACCTAAAACGGCACGCACTTTGAAAACTACTCTTTTTATATTAAAATATTATATTTTAATGGTATAAAAACACCATTAGTGTTTCTCCAAAATATGTAGGTATGAAAATAAAACGGTTTTATGTATTAGTGTAATAATTTCTTTATATGTCACTATTATTAGTGTCTAAAATCTAAATAGTATGTGTCCATCAAATATTATGCAATTTCGTATTTAGTATGGTTATGCAGTAGGTATTTCATACAATTTGTATCTGATTTATACTTGAAATTCAGAATAAAATCCATCAAATATGCAAAACGATTAAATGTTTAGACCCACTCGTTACAACGAGATTTGGCACCTTATAATATATTTTATATGTTATTAGTTATTACTCACGTGGCGTTTGGGTCGTATTCCGCCCATATCCGAACAAATTCGTCCAGGTGATGTGCACCCAGAATTGACGAGTCCCTGGTCAGGTAATCGAAGTTGTCCATGATGACTGCCACGAACAAGTTCAACATCTGCAGTGTACACAGGGTAAATTAATGATAGTAAATCATGGTATATACTATATTGCATAGTCGTTTTAAGTTAAACGTCTCGTAATTTTTTACGATTAATGGTTATTATTACAATCGCGTCGATAGTTCGATACGTAGTGTGTATCGGTTAGACGTGCTTACCAGAAACGAGCAGAAAAATATGAACGACACAAAATACATGTAGGCCATGTTCGAACCGCAATCGTTGTCCAACTTTTTGGCACCCGGCTCGCACATTTTCCCATGATTACAAGACAACATGATCGACGGCCACGCTTCGCCCGTGGCGCATCTGTAACACGGAAACGCGTTATAACATGGATACACTCAATAACCTGCAGGGGGCATCTTAAATTTTTATGTCGCTATAACTTAACCTTCTAATGTGTTTATTTATATTTGCCTCATGGTTAGTGCCTATGTATGGGAGGGGGGCTACTGCTGGAAGGGACATATTATTGTGTAGATGACGAAGAATCAAATTATTAAAGTAAATTTTTTTTAAATCAATTCAAAATTTAAATTATCTTTAAGCTAAATTTAAAGTCCATTTATTAGTTACCGCGCATAACACACGAATTAATATTAATTCATATTGCTTTGGAAATATAATCATTATAATATTGAATTGTCCTTCCGTCGTGCGGAAAATAATAAAATAGGTATAGAAGATGTCGCGATGATAATATATGATATAATATTACAATATTATACTATATATAGTAATATAATCAATAAATAATATAATTATAATTATTACCGAAACAATAGCATTAGACCCTGGACAAATGTTTGGAAATTGTTGTGCCTGTTGATTTCCGTGTTGGGGTCCAGCTGGATGTTGCCGAAAATCTGCATCCCGATGATGGCGTATATGAAGAACAACATGCCGATCAGCAGGCACACATAGGGCAGGGCCTGCGGTTAAACAAACGGTTAAAGGTATCCAGTTTGACAAGGGTATGGCGGGGAATGGAACAACAATATACTGAAAGTGAGCGAAAACGGGTGGCCCAAACTCATTTTCGCCCAAAATCGACTTTTTGGACTTCGTTCAAATGACCTTTTTTGCTGAAATTCAAAAAAGATGGATTTGGTTTTATCATAAACGAGAAAAACATTTTGATTTCCATTGTCCGAGAGGGCGTTTGAAGCAGGTCATGTGAAACAACGAAATGCATTTGACTTAAATATAGGAACCTTTTATCATAATATTTCAAATGATATATTATATAAATATATAGTAGAAATTATATCGGATCACACTGTATGAGTTTATTAAATCCATGTCATAATTTCGATATATAATATTATGCTTAAGTATTATAAATATCATATTATAATATATTATTATAACATATTTGTATGATGTTTATAAACTTATTAAATTACTTTGACTACATTGTATTTATTAGTAATAAGGTCGAAAGTTAATAATGTTTTATTCTTATATTTTGATGTTTACATTAATTTATATATTTAAATAAGCATTTATAATATGTTCTACACTTAGTAGGTACCTAAATATACATTTATGAACTATAATTGTTAATAACATTTCAATTAAAAAAAACAGTGGTAACCGAGATATATTTTTCGTTTATGATGAATATTTGAAATCTGTGGGTGAAAATCCAAACCCTCATTTTTGAATTTGAGAAATTGGTCAAAAACAAGTACGCCCATTAAATGACATGAATCCAGCAATTGCAGGCATTATAATAATATATTATTATACGTACTTTGAACGACTGGACGAACGTCCAGAGCAATATCCGTATAGTGTACCCTTGCCGGAGCAGTTTTATCAGTCTTGCGGCCCGGAAGAGCCGGAGGAATCCGACGTTTATGAAGTTTTCCTGCAAAAACAGGTTTTCGTTTACCACACATGGCGCAAAACGGTGCGAAAAGGCCCCCGCCCGGTGACGGTATAATATTGTTATTATATATCGTTGGATATCCTCTCGCGCCAGTAAAATAATATACAACATTTATAATATTACAATATAGATAACTTCACCTATATAATATTATGTTATATTTCAAAAGATGGCGTACTTAAGCTCAACATGATATAATATAATTAAACGCGTATATATATATATATATATATATATTATGCGCATCATCACACGAACTAGAGTGTATTTTAACGTGAAGCTCAGCGGTGGCGGCGGCATTGTATCGCACATAATAATTATATATGTATGACCCACTATTATTATTATATACATTATACAGCTAGGATGATCCATTTTCACGGCAACACGTCATAATTTATCGTCCAAGTCAATTTTCTTAATTTTGAAATGTTTATATGAATTGATAAGTATTTATAACACTATTACCTATATCTTTACAAATAAATATTATTTTATATATTTTCTTTTGCTATCTACCCATTTTTTTTTTATAGTGGTTGCTATTAAGTTGCTTTAGGTTTTTTAATTGTTTATAATTTTAAGTTTTAACCTTTATTATATTAATAATTTCATAGTAAGAAGAAGGATATTAATAAAAAAAAATAGGTATGTAATAGTCTATATATTTTATATAACGAAATTGTCTTGTCAATATGTGCCTTTCCCGGTATTCCAAATAGGCCATATTGTACAATATACTGCTACTTACTAAAGAAGAAATTGAAAACCACATAGATAGAAAATTATATTTTTTTGTAAAAATATATAGTGTTAGTTATAAATACACAAACATACATACTTAAAATCATAATATTTTTTTTTACTTAGAAAATTAGTTTCGACAGTCAAACAGATCATTCCGTATATTCTGCATATAATATTATAACATAATATATTTTTGTATCGTAATATTATGAAGTGTGAATAATATGGTATTTAATAATAATGTTTGTGTGATCAATTACTATTATAATTTATTAAAGGCGCGGTAATCGTGCGTAAATGCCTCGAACACAAAAAACAGTGTAACTCATATCACGCAAACCTGGTACATGTAGTTTTATTGCAGTGGCGTATTTGAACCTAGAACACAGTATAATAATAAGAGAGATGTCGATTCTTCTACACGACTCTTGAATATCTTGGTACGGAGGGCACCCCACATAAGTCCAGACAGGCATTTTATCGTTTTTCATTAATTATTATAAAAACCAGTATCGTAAAAATTTTTTTTTATTTAATTGCCCCCTCCGTATACAGATTCTGGAACCACCCTTGTCCCCAAGGTCAACGCCCAACATCACGAAAATAATATTTATCTTGAAAATGGTTTTTTTAACAACAAAATACTATGTTCAATTTTTATTTCAATAACCGCTAAACGCAAGTCTATCGATCTCATCATTGTTATACGGATACACTATTATCGATATTTAAAAAAAAAAAAAACAAAGTTTCCTTCACCCGCCCACCCGCCAACCAATCAATTACGCCACTGCAATATAAAGCAGAGATCTCTCAAATCCTGCAGGTAACACGCGCGTTGAGTTCGGAACCGCGTATACCACACAATAGGTATAATAACAATTATCCGACGGGGATCTCTGACGCACCGGAATCGACGAATTCCGGACGCGCAATGGTCGTTCGAGATGATTTTATTATTAATATCATATTATTGTAATGTCGTGTGACGACGGTACAGTTTCTAAACAAAGGTCACTGGAACAGCATCGGTGTAAAACGATATTACACGTACATATTGGCGGCGATGTGTGTTCAATATTTTACGGTGAGGAGATAAAACGGCGACGAAATCGAGTAAGTATAATGTATTAATGTGCAAATATACAGCCGTTGCCCGGCACCGGCAGAGCAGAGTGGGCGGCAGTGAGGTACGCCCTTGCAAAAGATCGATTTGAGTTCGCCGCACCGCAGAAAAATAAATAATAATAATAATAATAATAAACGGAAAATCGAAAATAACACTCGTGAACAATCGATTTTCCGGAGGCGGAGCGATTAGTTTAATATTAGTGTATAGTTTTCTGTGATGAATACGCGAAGAGAATAAGAACAAGAACAACGACAATATACCCAATAATAATAATTGCCGTGTTATAATAACATATTATTATGAATTTCGCACAGATCTGCTTCGTACAAAATAATAATAATAACAATAATAATAATAATATATCTGTGTACGATGGATCGTGTGCCAAGCGTCAGTATCGAAATTTGCGGCAGCGGCGGCGGAGGCGGAGGCGGCGATATAATATAATATTATTATTATTATGAGTTTTTATTTAGCAGTGGCGGCGGCGGAGCTTAGGCGGCGGCGATATCTCAACAGTAATTATATTGATAATATTATTATATAATATCATACATAGCATCAGCAGCAGAGCGTATAAAATATATTACACACCGATATAACACACAACATATTAATATACGATGATTTGCGCAAGCTCGAGGCCCGGCGGACCGGAGTCCGTCCGTCGTCGGTCGAATCGTGTGTCGTTTTATACGATCATTGTTTATAATATTATAACAATAACAATTTATTAACACAATATAATATAATATAATATATACACATACGCAGAGGAAGCGGAGGGTATCGCGGCTGCTGCAATGTCGCGGGCGTTTGTTTTCCAGAGCCCAAGCAGATCACTCGATACCGTGGCTGAGCACATAGGTGTTATTATATATATTATATTTATAGTTAACACATGTTAACACTTTTAATAAAATATCGCTAATCACATTGAGTATAATATGAATATGATATGCTCACGATACGATGTCAACGATATTTTTATGCTCCCCCCACCTTTGGGACGGAGGGGTAAGGTGTCAAATTTGGGGGGAGGGCCACACCCTGGCCTGTGAATCGTAGTGTGTAGTCGTGTGAGCGAAATAGACGAATAATGAAAGTGTATGCAATGTGTGGTGGTTTGATGGTGCGCCCACCCCCACCCGCTACCCACGCACCACTCACTAACCACCGTCGGTGACCAGAGCTCCTGGAAAATTCGGGCCACGAACATTGCACGCTGCTACGACCTCTACGCCTGGATTGCAAAATATATACTCAATACCAGTGAAAACTATCGAAAATGGTGATGTCAAAATATATATGTATATATATATAACTATTCTAAAACAATATATTCCTACAAAAAACTATACAGCATATTATTATAATATATAATAAGGTAGTATACGTATAATTATAATATAATAATATAAATAAACTCCATATAGGAATGTGTGAGAGAAAAAGAAACAAATTAAATGAATAAAAAACAAAACAGAAAACCTTCGCCCACGTTCCGGATACTCGGGTTTTTGCTAATGAGATTTTAATCCAAAAATATATTTTTATACAGGCCTCAACATTTTTCACTAAAAATTTTTTTTTTTCTACGTATGTACCTAATCAAATTTCTACGAGAAATATTCCATGGCAAAGTATCTAATTACAGTTTAATTTCTAACTCTCTAGCATTTTTTTTTTATATTTCCAAAATATAGGGAAATGGAATGGCTCAAAAAATGTATAATTTAATTTCGCTTCATTATATCATACTGTAAGACGAGAACTATGAATATTATTTTGTAGTTGTGTATAAGACACAAAAGTAATAATTATTTAGATAAAAAAATTATGTATAACAAAGGTTTTGCAATCGTTTAATAGATATACTGAATTATAATAATATCTCATTCGTCGTTATTTTCTATTCTATAGATATCATTGTTGTATGTAATTCAACTATACGTTGACACTTGTGTGCCCTATAACTTAATGCAATTTACTGTAAACTAATATTATGCATTTGTATGCACCAGTAATAAAAATTAATTTATTAAAAATATAATATGTAAACTATAACGACATCGAAAAACAGCTAGCGAACAGTTTAAAAAGCATATAAAATATCCACCATACTATAAATAAAAAATTCAATGAATTGCGGAGGATAAAATATTATGCATAAACCTAAGAGCCGAGATTGTACATGATTATAGTTACATTGCATATTATAATATTATATAAGTCGTAGAAAACTCTAGAGAAGCTATACTTGCAAATGGACTCGATCAGAACATAATATATATAAAAATAAACTTAATAACAATAATATGTTTAATTAGTATCAAAAAAAAAAAAAAAATATTTCGAATACAGTTATTATTGTTATTCTTTAAGCAATAATATTATGAAACCCAATAATAATATCCTATCCAAAATAATGATAATAATACGTATTACATATTTTTTACGATACATTTTAGACGAGAATATTATAATTGTTATTATTACCTAATGTTTTAGCAACGAAAACAAAGGCGATTTAAAAAATATATATATAATAATATTATATTTTCTATACCGTAATAATAGTACCTATGTTATTATCTTCGAACTCTATATTGTGTTACAAAATACTCTACAAACAATAATGGTGGTAACTACAGTTATTATTAATTATTATAATATTATTACTCTTCAAAGATCAGACTAAATATGCTATAATATGCTATAATATAACAATAATATGCTAGCCATGGTGTGTTTCTATGTGTATAATAATAATAATAATAATAATATGTTACTACGATGATGAATAATTATTGTACTTTGGGTACCTACTACCTACTATAATACTATTAATGCATTAGATTTAATTAATATATTATTATATATCAGTCAAATTAGTAATACAACAGTATACAAATGTTATAATATAGTATTTAGTAGGTATATACGTATAAACATCGATACTCACTACTTTTTCTCTTAAACATTGCATTGTATCGCCAATAATTATAAAAAAGGATCTAATAAAACGTACTTCGTACTACTAAAAAATATTATATACCTACCTACGTATATAAAATAACATCATATCAACAATATCAAAGTCACTATACTGTAATGTCGTATAAAACATACACCAAAAATCCGAGTAGCCCTTAGTGGATTATTATTTATTATTATTATTTTCAATTTCCGTAAACGTCATAATAATATCAATAATGATGATAACATAATAATATTGCCATCGGATTTTTCGGGAAAAATTGAAAGACAAATAAGACGTATCTACGGTTATAACGAAAAAATTACAAACAAAATTTAGGAGGCACAATATTTTTAAATATCTCAGAAACCAGGATTGACTGTACGTTGGCGATTTGATCGGGTTTTATAATATCCCCCGTATATTCATCCCGTAAGTAGGTACATATTTGAGGTTAAGGTTCCCCAAATAACAATAATAAAACAAAGAATAATATAGGTGCCTAAAAAAAATCGAATATATTATTTCTGATTTTACCTACTAATAATAATATTGTAAACAAAATATATCGTGTTGAATATTGTCGTCACATATAGCTAATGTAAGTCGGTACTCACAATATTTATCGGGTTATAATATTGTGATTGTAGACAACTATTTTCTAAATAAGTGTTATAATACGTGTATATATATTATATATTCGCTTGCTGCTTAATTATTAAGAGCAATATTTTGATAACCATCGTGTTGCATAATAAAAAAGTATATAATACATTTAAAAAAAAAAAAATAAATTAAATAAAAAATAAAAATCCATGTCCAAAAGACCAAAAAAAAAATTACAAAAGACACATTCTTCAACAGTATACAAGTGCGGTCTACGTCGGATGCAACAAATTGGCGTACTCCTGATGTTTTAAATATAAAATTTACCTCCACAACTTCTCCAAACAGCAGTTTTGGTAAATCTGTTGGTTTCTCTACATTCATCAAAGTTCGGTACACATATACGAGGCGTTCCTATACAAGAGTAAACATGTTACAAATTCCTGTGAGATGTATATTGTTTTTATTTTTTTTTATATATTTTTAATTTTTTAATAGGTATTTTTTTTGTGTGCGAATTTCCGATAAACGTCGACTTTGATTCGATGTCCTTTCGTATTCTCAAATCCTGATCATTATTTTACTGAGGGTCTATTATATTTTGTTCGATAAAAACATTATGATGTACCCAGGTAAAGAAAGTCTGGATTTGTAACCCAACTGGGGCGACTGGCTTAGATACCTAACTGTAAATTGAATTCTGCGAACATCACGGCATAATTTCAGTTGTATTGTGTCTGTGGGTAAAGTTTTACGTTTATAATAAATATTCCGACAAATTAAAGTGATGAAAAAGGTTCGAAAAGCATTTCACAGGCTTGATACATCAATACTATATGGGTACTTGGAAACTCTAAGTTACGTAGCGGAAGGTTAATTCAATATGTAATAATATGTATCGTCGAAGGATGAAATCGACAACGTGCCAGTCGGTTCACTATAATATTATTTTAGGAAGAAAAGGGTAATAAAATGATTATAGGTATGTCTATGTAAAGCGTGTGTAGCGATGGACAGAAAAATATTCACGTTAACGGAAATTATGCAACGCATAAAGTGGTCGCTAAAATTAATAGGTATGTATTATAATATATAGCCATGTAAATTTGGGTTCTAAACAATAAAAATTGTATAATATAATATCATACATCATCGCCTGACGAGACGACGAAACCACCTGTCTCGGTTTTCAAAAGTTTTCCAGCAGTTCAAAAAAATCCATTTTTTTATATAGTTGATATTATATAATAATAATACATTATAGTGCGCTCTTATGCGTTAAACAAATTCATTGATTCGATTAAAATGTGAGACAGGTAGTTTTGCCTTCCCGGTGACAAATTATATGTATCAACTATTATAATAAAATAATATTTTATTAAACGTATAGGAGACACAACCATATAGACGAACACACACTTGCATCCAGAACTTAAATAATTGTAAAATTAAAATACATTATTATTATTAATTGTTACATAATATATAAATACATTTTATAATATTATGTAAAGGAAAGAACACGTAGCTGCAAAAATTGTTATGAATGCGTATACATAATAATATATTATTGTTTAAAATGTCTTACCCCAAATTCGATGACCAGCGCGTCCACAATACTTCCGATGACCGTGATGAAGTCGAAAATATTCCACGGGTCTTTAAAAAAATTCTGAAAACCATTTCATTAAGCAAACAACGTGTTTGGGTTAGACATTTGTGAGGTAATACATAATCATATATATATTATGTTTAATTATTAGACATTAAATCATAATAATTATTATTGTTATTAGTGTAAATATTGTACACGCATGCTTTCCATTGGAATCACTGTGGGAGGACGTGGTACATCCGTGAAACAAGATCATTTTTTTTTTATCGTATAGGTAGGTCTAAAATAATTATGTATAATATCGTAATTTATTATTACAAATTATTAGATTATAATTAATATATAATGAACAATATTGTGTTACCTTGCATCCAAACGCGATGAGTTTTAAGACACATTCTACTAGGAATAGCAGCGTCAATAAATGATTGAGGTTTAGTAGAACACTGTTAAGTAGATACGATTCGCGATGGTGCTGCAGCCACGAAATAAACAACCAAATAAAAGCAACGTTTTAATATTACACAGGCAACTAATTTAATGACTTCGGTTAGTAATATCGTATCTAATAATAAAACTTTTGAACTGGTAAAAAAAAACAAATCTAATTTGTACAATCTATATATTATATAATATAATATAATATAATAATATAATAACATCCGATATTCGTCTTTAAGTTCGTGATAAAATCAAAAAACGACGGAAATAACATTTTTTTTTACCATAAATACTGAAAAAAATGTGATAGTTTAGTCATCAAACTATTATTATTATATTATAATGTATAATATCACGTCGGACGTCTAAGACGTTCAGACGAAATTCAGAAATACCAATCTAACGAATCCAAAGGTGATGATGATAGTAATAGTAATAATAATAATAATACCTAACAATAGTAATATTATAATACTGTGTACTATTTTACAGCTGTGTGTTGTAAATTATATTGTATATAATATAATATTATAATACCACGACGATGATAATAATAAACTAATGTACTATCGTGTTTGTGAATCCGTGTGAAGAATTAATGCTGAATAGTTCAAGACTGGACAAAAACCGTGCGATATACGACGATGACCGCGCGCGCTATATTAATATATTTTCGCAGCTCACGACGAATGGGGGCGGTAGATATAGGAGGTATACACAATAATAATAATATATTTGATCCTGAATTTGGTGGCATTGTATAGGATCTAATCGGAAAAACAAATTAACAATAACAGTATAGTAGAGTTGGGCATGCGAAATAATAATATTATAATATAGTAATCAAACGCAAGACACAAGCGGACATAAAGGTACACACACGCACACACCCAAACACACGAACAAATCATGCTTGTTTGTTTACATAATATCTATATAGAAAGAACATCAACATCGTAACAGGTAGTATGTGTCTGTAAAACTCACGTCATTGTATTTATCGGTGTAATCCATATTATGAGACCACTTACCTTACACACGGTGTAGAATTATATCTCTGTGTCGTAGGTAGGAGGAATACAATACTACTGTACACATAATTCGGTAGGTAGTCAATTTTTGATATTCACTTTCAAGGGGGCTGTTTCTGAGAAAATAGGGTCCTCGAGACTAATACGATTAAACGATTATTTTTTTTTCGGTGTAGCAAATTCAATGGAAAGCACGTGACGGACGTATATCATAGTAATAAAAATATTAATAATCATTTTTTTAAACCAAAATCAGTAAAACGTTTCAAAACAAAAATAACTTAACATACAACAATATTAAGACTATTATAATATAATATAATATAATATATGAAATTAAGGTAAATATAATATATGTATATTGCATATACATATGTATTATATAGTGATAAATTATTTTATTTAATTTTAGACAATATCTAAAATATTAATCGAATATGGTTACTACTACTTGGCACGTGTTCTCTTACCCTGACTCCGAACGCCAAAATTTTGAGCACGCACTCAATGGTAAACATGCCAGTAAACACCATGTTCATGTAATGTAGAGCAGTCTTGTAGGATTTTTTTTGTTGATAAAACTATAAAAATGAATAAAAAAACAATGATCAACCATTATAGTGAAAAAAAATAATAATAAAAAAAAGAAATAACGAAAGAAAGAATGAAGAGCATTAATTGTTCTGATAGCGAACTAAATATAAAAAAATAACACTTCACAAATGTTACACATTATAATATTATAACCTTTTTGTCGCATAGACTGATAAAAATTACTCAAAATAAAAAAAATATGTCATCAGTTAGTCGACAACAAAATTAAAAAAAAAAAAAAACACAATATAAAATCAATATAAAAGGCAGCGATGCGTTTAGTAAAATCAATTTAGTATTTATTAATTCATTTTTTTTTTTTGACGTTGAAAGCAAAAGTTATGCGGAATAATAGAGAAAAAGATAAATATAAGCAACCTGAAAATAAAATAAATTTTTAAAAATGTAAAACCATGATGTGTGTGATATCCACAGCAAATAGGAGTGATCAGCTTAAGCAAATTGTGCATGCAATAAAATATGTTGGTCAATAAATTACTCCAAAAAAAAGTCCAAATAAAAATAAAACTAAGAGTCTCTGCGATAAGTACAAAATATGACGAGTTACGCGAACAAAACGTGTACAGTGATCACTGTGCTATTATACTGTCATGACGATATTGTTTGCAGTTGCGGTTTGTTCTCGTCATAATAATTTTCAAAATACTAATATACGCCGAGTAGAATTATTAGTATAATATTATAATCGTTGGTGTATAGCGCGTAAATTAACCATCTCGTTGGAATCGACGATAATAATTATAATATAATAAACGAGTTCAGCAAACATCCGATGGTACGAAAATAATTAGATATTATGTTACAATACATTTTATGGCTAAATATTGATATTATATATGTGACGAAACGCGTCTAACGAAGCCGACGAGACTTACCTTCATCATGAGTAACAGCGTGTTCAAGACGATCAGTATCATGATGAAATATTCAAACGGCGTCGACACTACCAGTCGCCATATCTTGTATTTCATACTGTTCCTGTCTTTCGGCATGTACCTCTCCAGCGGTCTGGCTTGTATGGTAAAATCGATACAAGATTTCTGAAATACACGTTATCGTCGTCGTCATCATCAATACCACATCACTGGTTGATATTATTGTCACCAGTGCGGGGGGGGGGGCGACCGGGGAGTAACGTGCAAGTGATTCGTGTACGGTGGAACGGACCATTCAGAGCTAGCTCTTTTTTCAGTCTCCCGATTTAATTTCAGTTATTTTTTTTAAACAGGAACAAACCCGTGTTTTTAATAGTCAGTCAAAAGGTGCTTAGTTTTAAAATGCACTAATATAATAATATGTTATATTATGACGTTATAGACGACGAAGAAAAACCGCGAAAAACTCGTACATGTCGCGCGGTTATGGAGACCATGGGGAGCGGTGTGCCAAGAGAGGATTGAAGTTTGTTAAAATAGTTATGTTTAACACAATATTATATAATATATTGTGATAAAATGAAGATGATGAGAAATACGAAGTCATAATTCGTCAATAATAACGACGGATACTCGTAAACGTTTTATTAATAATCGTGTTTTGTAAATTATAAATGAAATTGCCCAAGGGCGTAGCCAAGAGTTAGCAGCGTGGGAAATTCCCCCAGATAAAAATCCTGTCTACTCCACTGCATTATAGTAATTTATAGTACTACTATGAGACACATCCTACCTGGTTTTTATCAATTTCGCCGTCTTGTAATTCGGCCTCTCCTTGTTCTTGAAACGTAATGATGATCAACGCGACGAATATGTTGACGAAGAAGAAAGGAAACACGATAAAATAAATTATGTAGAACAACGACCTCTCGATGTGGTAATTCGGTATGGGTCCTTTGTCCTCTTCCGTGGCCGCTATCGAATTTTGCAACACCCTATAACGGAAACAATAAAAATCTCCGTCAGTCTATCCTATGGGACATTTCTATACGACAAAGAATTATAATATGAACTGCGATGTGTGTTATTTATAACTAGAGCAAGAACTCGTATGTTTCGTGCTCATATTTTTTTCTGTATTTTGAACTTTGAGGCTTATGAGTTGTGGAATGTTCATAATAAATGTACCTATTATTTCGTAGCGTTCCATCGATAAATATTTGGAGTTTGCCATTCCCGAGGACGAAATAACGGCGTAATATTATTTGACATATTTTTATTTTTTATTTAATTCCTACTGTTCAATATAAGTAGTTATAATAATTGTAAAACTGTTTAATAACGATGTCACGAAAATGCTCGAAAGTCCTTGCTCTGTTTATAACTCGCGTCGAAACCGAGTGTGCACGCACTGGGGCCATCCTTCGCCCGTCTGGACGGCAAACAGCGTCAACATGGCCACGGCCACGTTGTCGTAGTAGAAGGCCTGTTGATCCCATATCCTCTTCTCCGAGGTCGGTATGAATTTTTGTGAATTCACGTCTTCAGTGTCGCCGGCTTCGTATTTGAAATAATAACCCCTGGAAATTAAGGACAGACATAGTTATTATGCCATCACCAAGCTCGAAAAATCAAACGCACAGATATATTATTATTGAAGCAAACAATTATTATACTATGTGTCTATGTAGATGACCGACATTTGGAGCCGATAAAATTTTGATGAAAAAATGACTGTGGATTGTGGATACAATCAACGTTTAGACGTTTACATTTTGAAATAAAGTATAAGATATGCGTGTGTATGTGTGTAGAGTTGACTGTAGATCACAGTCCACCTACCGCATTAATGGTTATGAAATTTAGTGCACAGGTAATCATATACCCGAGGATGTGCACCTCAAATCCAATAATTAAAATTTAACATTTTAAAGATGGGTTACACACAGGGATTTGTTGCCTCACGAAAATCGAATATTTTTTGTTTATATACCTACGGTTGCTATTTGTTATAGAAAATAAAATAGTTATTATAATTGGATATAATTTTAGTCCTATAGGTACTGTATATTTGGTCAAAACCACCCAAATTAATGTTTTAAACAATTTGTACAGTTTATATTTGACAGAGCTCAAAACGGATAAATCAACTGGCATTATTTAATTTAATATGTGCGGATCAGCTATAATAACTAATAAATATACGTATCTAGTATATCTGGTACATAAATTCATAGTCCTAAAACGTATGCAAATCCAAAGTTTTCGAACGGTTTTTGTAACATTTTCGACAATAGATTTAGCAAGATCCGTAGTGTCACGAGCAACTTTTATTTTTCAACACATAAATGTTGAATATAATATAGATAACATAGCTAATGGCCATAGATGCCGGGATTAAGGATCAATAAAAAAAAAAAAAAAAAATAATAATATAGCGTTCTACAGTTTTTTATATGTATATATATATAGTTACCATTAGTTACAGAAAATAAAATGGTTATTGGATATAATTTTAGTCCTATATTATATATTTTGTCAAAACCACCCAAATTAATGTGTGAAAACTATGTGTAGGTAGTTTACATTCAACGGAGCTTAAGACAGGATAAATCCATTGGTATTATTTAGTTTGTGTCACCGTCATACAGGATCAGCTAGCATTGGATATAATAATCGCGCTACTAGCATTAGTTACCTATTTAAGAAGGATTACAATTTTTCGACCTATCCGTGGCTATATCACCATCGTATTTGCTATAATATCATTATCGCCTATTGGATAAGAAATGTCGGTAATTTTATAATTTTCTCGGCTTCAATAATACTATGTTCTAATGGTAACTTATATAGTTGTTAATATGTCTACGAGCACCAAGTAATTTTGTATTTCGTATAAAGTATAATGTTTGGTTATGAATTGTAGGGATATTTTATTTTAATTATTAAGTTTCAAAGTTCAAACTGATACTATGTTATATATTATCATATTTTTGATTTGATTAGTCGCAATTTGATATTGTAATGGAACAAATAAGAACGTTTCGTGCCAATATCTATCAAAAACGATGACTTAAAGTGCCAATTTCTATACAAGTTACCCTACTAGGAGCAAGTAGGCCATCTGGTATTTCTGTTATTATTTTATTTTTTATAAATCTGTGATTGAATTTAAAGTTTATACGTGGTAATGTACACTTGTATCATAGTATTATAGTATACTCACTGGCATGTGCCGTTGATGGTCTTGCTGCTGTCGTTACAGTAGAAAAACTTGCCGTGGAACAGCTGAACGGCAATGACGGCAAAGATGAAATGAAACAGTATGTACACGATAAGTATGTTGATAACGTTCTTCAGTGAATTCACCACGCAGTCAAACACAGCTTTGAGCTTGGGTACGCGCTTGATGGTCTTCAACGGTCGCAAAACTCGCAGCACTCGGAGCGACTTGATGGTCGACAGGTTCGAGCCGACGGAACCGCCGCTGTAACGAAAACGCGCACACACTCACTGTCAGGACAGTTTTATTTTACGACGACGGGTCACAGAACTATGGCCCGTGGCTAAAATTCCACAAGATGTAGGTCAAAAACACAAAAAAGTATAATTTTATTATAGAAATGGTTGAAAAGACTCAGTTCTTAAGACATTATCATTTGTGTTCGATTTTTTTTTTTGTTATTTGTTGTACCTACTGATTTTATTACAAAACATAATATTATAATTACCTATGTAGATTAATTGATTTCACTTTAGTACATTAACGCATTTTAAATATTATTTATCTTTTTACTATGGCCGAATGATATTATTATTTACATGTCCGAACTATATAAATAATTATTATTAGACCACAAATCACGTTATATGTCTCTCAAAACTTTAACAAGTACACAACTATGGAGTGTTTAGTTTTTAACATAAACTGATAGTTCCGGACATGATGTTACAGAGGTTATAATGGTTTTATACATATGTATCTATGTATCTAATAACGGGCAGAGTGATTAAATCGACCATTGGAAACCCAATGGATTCTAATAAAACAGTTTTAAAAAATCGGACGAAGTCAATTTTTGGATTCATAGTCATCGGATTTGTTGTGTTGATGCATTACCTTCCCTTTGCGAATATGAATGAAGCGAAAGCGCAGATAACCACCACCGCGTCCATTATGTTCCAAAACTCTCTGAGGTACGAACCGGGATGTAAAATCACCCCCAGATCGATTATCTGCAACAATAACACGAGTGGAGTTTTATATTAGCCTTGTCATGAAGGGTTTGCGTTTCGTGCGTGTCCTTTATTTGCTCTTACCTTCAGTATCATTTCTATTGCAAAAATCACTGTGAACACGTTATCGACTACGTCCAAATAATTGTTCCAATCCGAATCGTCGTTAATTGGATCTTCGGCAGCTAACGCCACGCTGCTCAATATGATAATCAGCATGATAAAAAAATCGAAATACCTCAAATTGACGATCCAATGGGCGGCTCTTCTAATGCTGTAAAAAATGTAAAAACAATATGTGAATGTTAAGTGTGAGAGGACAAAATTATAAAAATTTTAATTTTACAGTAGCCTATAAAAATTACCAGTTGGTAGGTGACAACAAAAACATAGACGAATACGGTAACATGGGTTTCGGTCCTTCGTCTTCTTCCTCTTCCTCTACTTTGCTGTCGGGCTCATCCGAATGATGTTTTCGGTGATGTCTGATAAGTGAAACACTTCGAATTATTTCATAAATTAATGTCAAAAACACTCATGAACATGGTTATCAAATGTTTTACCTGGAATTTTGTGATGGCGATGTTGGTATCATTTCCATCTTGGACGGGTCAGTACTCATTTGTAATGCTTCCATTTCTTTCTCGAGTTCTTGTTGTTGTTTCTACACAATATAGTTAACGGCATGAACGAAGGCCTTATAATATAATATTTACCCACCGCTCGCACTTACCTCTTTGTCCTCTTCTTCTTGTTCTTCCTCGGCAGCTGTTAATTCTTGCGCGTTCGCTAAATTGTCGACGGCAATGGCCAAGAACACGTTCAGCAGTGTATAGTTACCGAAAAGTACTAAGATGATGAAGTATAGAGCGTATATCATCCCTCCACCTTGAGTCTGGGCTTGACTTCTAATGCCTTGGTACATGACTTCGTTCCAATCTTCACCGGTTAGAATCTAAGAGTAAAATTAATAATATTATTATTAGTAATTATAACATCAATATAATGTAGTTTTATACGAGTAACTAACCTGAAACACGGTTAACAGGGCTATTGGGAACGTGTTGAAGTTTGTTGGAGGCGTTCCTTCCTCGAAATTGAACTGTCCACCGAACAACTGCATACCGAGCAGTGCGAATATCAGTATGAACAAGAACAGTAGAAAAAGCAACGATATAATTGATCTCATGGAGTTGAGTAACGATATCACGAGGTTCCTCAACGAAGACCAATACCTGAGACGATACGACAAGGAATAATTACGGGGATGTTAGAGTATAACTTCTTATGCAAGACTATAAGAGTGTTGTGCAGACGACTACATGATGGTAACATTAAAAATATAAAAATTCGAAGAATTTACTTTGTCACTTTGAATATTCGTAACAACCGAAGTGCTCTCAGCACGGACAGACCGAAGGAACCGCCTTTCACGGCTGACCAGACGACTTCGAATATGGAACCCATGATTACGACACAATCGAAACGGTTGAACGCGGAATCGAAGTATATCCGTATGCCGAGCGCGTACATCTTGATGAACATTTCGGCCATGAAGAGCATGAGGAACACGTACTCAGAAACAACTGTCATTTTCGAAAAGCGTAACAATATTTAATAATATACCAAATACAAATCAGGATGAATATTAAAATTTTTTTTTTAAACGCGGTCGTTTAAATTACGATAACGCAAAGAAAAAAATTAATATTTTAAATTAACGCAAAGTCTTACACATGAAGTCCGTTATGAATTGTGGTTGTTTGTGATGTTCGATGGCCACGAACACTGTATTAAAAAACACTAATACGATGACGAACCAATAGAACCATTGCGCTTTTACCATGCGTCTGATCCAAAACCTAAACCGTTTTTCGGCTCTCCACATAGAAGCGCAAACGCCCTTTTTTCGCATTCGGTCTTTAAACGTCGGCGTGCGCGGGAAACCTGCAGATTTGTAAGATTCCTTTAAATAAGTTTGATTAAACACTACTAAGCTATGAATAATATACTATTCTGTCTACCGATAAACTCGTTATAATAAAACACCAATGGCTAACTGGCAGCGGTTATATGTGTGAAAGCATTATATCCCACAAGTAATTAATATTATATATCTAACGCGTTAAGGGTAGGTATAGGTATAATGTACTGATTAATGATAATTGAGTTACTATTACTGTTATAGGATGACAAGGCACGTAGAGAGGTAATAAAATAATAGCTAGATAATAATATAAACAAAGTAAAAACCAATCATTTTGATCATGATGATATTACAACACACAACTACACTATAGTCATTTAAACAAAATAATAATACGCTCGTAATTATACACACGAATACACGATTATGTACCAAGGAATAGTTCTATCAGTAAAAATAATGTGAAATCGTCGGACATCGCGCGCGAATGCTATTATAGGCAATCGTCCATATAACCGCCACTGTGAAATTAGCAATACCGTATAATAATAACTGTTATAATATAATAATATACATTAATGTTTGAAACAAAGTGTATTTTTTCGTCTACAAAATTCGTATTATGTACACAAGTTGTTTGTTTTAATTATAACAATATTGTCTATGACTACTATATTATATAATATAATATATATATCTAAATATTATTATCAACTGTCCACTCTTGTACGCACACACGCATACACCACACGCACACAAACACAGACGCCTCCAACATGCAAAATTTTAGTATCTTTCGCAGTGTATAAAATCCTGGGCGTTTCTAAATAACACCTTTATCTCAATCAAAACGTTCTAGGCAAAACTCACGCTTGATGTACGCCCCTCTTATACGTGAAACAAAAAAAAACCGTACCTTTTTTGCCTTTACCAAGCACTGAAACATAACATTGAATATTTCGATAAAGTTTTAATAGGTTTTAGGTATATACACTGTTATGTAACATTATCATACTGACAATGGGAACATGGGGAAACGTTTAGCTACCAACGGCATATCACAATAGAAACACTGGAGGAGTGATATAAACTATCACTCCCCCGGAATCCACGCCATATGCAATTGCCACTCAGCACAGAGAACTATAATATTATAATATCGTGTTTACCTTCATCGGCTTCTTCTTCCTCGCACTCTTCCTCGGACTCGGTGCTTTTGCTTTTGCCCAAGGTTTTCAGTTTTTTTCTTTTTATGTCAGCTCTTCTTCTCGCTGTGAGAAAGCGTAAAATCGCCACATTGTAATAATATAATGTATGATATAATATAGGTAGGTAGTATAGGTACAACATAATAATACGACAATAATATTCTCCTAGTGAGAAACCGCATATGAATTTGAATAAAATAAATAAATAACGCCGACGCCGACACGTCGTCCGGTGCATAAGCTATTTACCTTCGATAATGTGTCTTCTCTCCTCATCTGTGGTCCGTTCTTCGGCCAGGATGACCTCTTCTACAGCATCGAAAAAACCGACAAAAACAAAACGTTAGTTGATTTGTTTGAGACGACGTTATGGCGTTAGGCACCGTTTAAATACTGTGCGCATTACGACGTCTACGGGGTACAAACATTTTCGAACTTAAGCCGACACTTACCGGCTTTGCATATCCAGTCTACATAACCGTTGAGCTCGCGTTCCAGCTGTTGCTGTCGCCGTAGCTTCAAGAACGTTTGCCGGTTTTCGACTTTTTCTCTTTCTTTAGCGAATTCTCTACAAAGCCAGGACACAAGGATCGGTATTACATGGACTACTATTTAATACTGCAGTCTACTGTTATATTATTGTATTAGGTAAATAATTGGGTTTTTGAACAATATATAATATTATCAAATCCAAATCAAACGTCCGCAGGATCTTTGCAGGACGCTATATAATAGCGTGTACTAGATATTATATTATTTATTACACGAGTGTGCACGGAAATTTCAATATTGTATTGTGCGGGACCACGCGGTAGTTGTTATTGCAGCAGGTAAAAATATTGGGATGGGAAGATGTTGTTTTTTTTAAAAACAATGTACGTGTACTCGATGTATACAGGTACGCAACAACATTATAACATATATACTTGGAATACAAATTGTAGAAAGACCAAGGGAGGGCAGGTACTCAAATAGTTTACTCTTCGCAAAATAATTACGCGCGTTTAGAACACGGTACTAATAAAATACCTGCGGCCGTAATCCAGTTAATGTAATTATTAAACATATCGATGTATTTTTTTTTCGTGCGCATCTTGTAATATTTAGCCTGCCGTTCTACGCGGGTTCTCTCGTTCGAGAACTCTCTGCAAAGCGTAGAAAAGCGTATGAAAACCTCATCGAACATTATTATAGGTACCGAGTGTTCGTTTGTATTTTTAATAATATTATATTATATGTCCGTCTGTTGGTTCATTTTTCCCGTAACATATATTAATATGTTATTATATGTTTCGGCTATTTAGTTTAGTTACAATATAATATAATTTAATAATAATAAAAACACGGAAATAAGACTCACCCGCTAAGCACACCGAGAACTAAATTGAGCATAAAAAATGAACCTAGAATAATAAGTGGTACAAAATATATCCAATTGAATAGCACGCCGTACGCATCGTTCATCTGAAACAACAATCGTTAATATCGGCAAATCAAAAGTACGTAATCCACAAAATGCAGTAGATACGTTTAAAAAATATAGTAAAAATACCTACCCGGATATGTATGGAAGATTGTAATTGTATTAGAAAACGATAGGTAGGTGGTATTAAAAAAATCGTTTTAACAATAATTATCGAAAAGGGACGTAAATTAAAGCAAAACTTCGATACAATAAAATATAAATATATATTCATAGATATTTTAAAAGCATTTTTTAAATTGTTTTGTCTAAGTATATAATAGACTATTTAGTATCTGAAAACAGGATTATTGCATAAGTTTTAATTAGAAAATTGATACCTATGATAAAACACGAATGGGTATCGTAATTCGTAATTGAGATAGTTTTCTCGTTTTGGTATTTTATTAAGAATTAAACTAGACGAAAAAATGATTTCTTTTTTCAAATAACATTTTGGTAATAATATTATATAACACGCAATAATATCGGTGTTTTTTTTTTTATAGTTTTTTTAGTTGATTTACATGCAGCCATGCCGTGGCAAGTTAATGATAATTTTTAATTGAATTAAGGTAAGTTGATAATATACGTTTTACAAAGTTAAAAGTTATATGAAAATTATCGATTAACTTATTAACTTAAGTTAAGTTATTTTTTTTAATATATAAACAACCAGTGAGTAAATGTAGAAAATTAAATGTTAATGCAATATGCGTCATCAATAATAATTGTATTATATTTGTTCTTCGACTAACCCAGTACAGGATGGTAGTCCACCCTTCCATGGTGATGCATTGGAAAACGGTGAGCATGGCCAGTCCGATGTTATCGAACGACGTGATCCCGTAATTGGGACCTACCCAGTTTTCTATGCACGTGGACATCGTGCTATCACAGAAGAACGCGTTGTACGGCTTCGCCTCATCGTCTGAGTCCGAGTCCGAGTTGCAAGGCGCCGGGTTCGCTCCATCGATTTGCATCGCAATTAGATTATCCAACCTAACGCATCAACTCAAACGCATTATACGACTAGTTTGCACTACGCACGTGTCGTAGGGATGGCATAAATTTGTCTGGACGCGCGATACATTGACTTTCGGCGGTTCGAAAACATAAATATCGATGTGACGATGAAATGTCGTTACTAAAAATATCGATATATCGATATTTTGTTAATTTTTTTTCCAATCAATTTAATATTTTGCATTGTCTTCGCTCTTGTGGCAAATTTTGTGAAAATCTACTACCACGTGACGGTTATACTTTTCATATTTCATACTAAGGCAAACAGTGCGAATACGTACAGCTGATTTGAGCTTTTTTGGAAACACTGGAAAGTGTTATAGATCTAGTACCTACAAGACGTCTACATCGATGTTAAATTGAACACGTCATAGTCTACTAAATTGATGCGATTCGCCATAAATGATTAATTTTAAATTCTACTGAGTTCATGAGTGGAGTGTAAATTTAAGATGAGAGATGATTGTAGTTTGTCCCACTACGAGGGATCTAATATATAAATATAACTTGATCTAAACCTAACAAATGTGAATGCTCATGATTTATAGGGTATGTTTGCCAAAGACTCTCGTGATCATAGATGTTATAATCACATATATTAAACAATCGTGGAAAGAAAAATAGTTTAATTACAAAATAAAAATGGATAAATTCGAAATCAATATGACAATATAAGCTGAGTACAAAAGAACATTTAAAATATTTTTAAATAAATATCGATGTTCCAATATTATTGACCTAAATGTATCAATGTGCCGATATTATCGAAGGGTAAATATTAACACCAAAATATCGATATATCGATTATAACGTTGCCATCCCTAGGTCCGTGTGATACTAAATACTGTGTACCTCTAAGTACCTACGTCGCGGACGAGGCACCAACATAAATTATTATTATTATATTTTTCACCATACAAATATGTTTGTCACTCAGACAATGTAATATAATATAATATAATAATATTTGGTACTTATACCTATAATATTATATGTAGTAGTATGGTGGTGGCCCGTAAACGAACTTGTGGCAAAACGATAACGTGGTAATAATAACAATACGATACTCGCACATCACTCAGTATACGACGTTAAAATGTTTTTTATATTATTATTAACATTAAAACACATGCTAATTATAGTAATTATATTACAAAATATAATAGTCTTGTATAATAAACTTAAGTAGGTATGAATTGTATTATACATAAGCACACACACACGATCAGTAATATGATCAATAATAATAGTATTATGTCACTGGTATTGATCCATTGCTGTAGTTTCGTTCATGACGATTTTGTAAAATATGCTAAAATGATTGATAATGATAAGACAGTCGTGATTGTTGACAATTGAAATGCCGCTTTCAATTGAACCGGTTTTAGGGATAGTATAATATAAGAGTATAAGGAGGGAAAACATACAAAATTAGCTAATTATTTGTGGGAGGGTGGGTGGTTTTCAAAGTTATTGAAACACAATTCGGTGCTACAACCACATATTATACTAATATTATTTCGTTATGACCGTCTTACAAACGTAGGTACAACATGAAAAATGTTCGTTCAATAGAACCAATTTTATATCATTGGGTTTTTTTTTAAATATTAGAGTGAATTGACCTGTTGTCTGTGACAAAACTTTAAGATAAGAATATCATCTGCATTGTTCTCTGCAGTGTCGGATTCACACGATATTTTAATTTCTAAGAGAGTTTTGAACAATATGTTAAATATTAAAACGTAAAAATACTCATACAACTCGAAAAAATTTAATATCGCAAGAAACCGGCTAGAGGACACAGATAATGTTCTTACAATTTTAAGTATGATCACTACACAAAATTGTTTCTGCTCAACTTAAATTTGATATAATATTATACTAAAGGGTACATAAAGGTTGGACGTTCTCTCCTTAAATCCTCTTATATTAAGCCAACGGTCAATTATTATTTTTATTCAAATAAACGAACATCGGGACATGTAGCTTATACGCACTTATATGGTAGGTAATACCTACATGGTGTATAACATACGAAGCAAAAAGATGAATTTGTCTGAAATAATGAAGAAATATCTTATTTTAGAGCATAAAAAGTATCATTTAAGTATTAATTAATTATTTAAACACACTCAACAAAACGATTTTGTAATATCATAACTGATGTACATACACCACATTATTATATCTAGATTCAATACATAGATAACATAAATTATGTAATAATGTCGTGACTTGGTCTTTCGATGATCTCATTCTGTATAATATATTATTATATCATACCGTATTAAACGCATAAAAATGGTACTGCAACTTATTACACCCACTGTATTATCTAAGGATAATACAAAATAAAATACCCGATATCAGGTTATAAAAATAAAACTGAGGTTTGGTATATTTTCTGCTGCCATATTAAAATATTATCCATTATACATTTATTTATTTTTACATAATATTTATTTTTTCTATGTAATAAACATTTGTGAAGCAATCGAAGATAACTCCATAAATCCAAACTGAAATTGTTAAGTTTAATTGAAAAATTACACTTAAAAATTACAAACAAAAAATGTTTGAAAATCCACAAACAAATAAAATAAAATAAATTAATGTGATCATCCACTTTAGCAAATATAAAACTCATATTTAAAACAAATGAGTAGAAAAAGTAGTTATTTACTATCGTGGGGTCCTTTATACTGTATATATATATATGGACAGAGTGTTTTTCGTCTGTTTTTTAATTTAAAGGAAATTATTAATTTATGCTAGGTTTATGCCTAGTATTAAAATAATGAAATATATACATGGGTAATATAAAACGTCTATAATGACACCGGTAGTAGTGACATATCGGGTGTACGTAATGACCTTATAGATTGAAGTTCCCGACGAAAATTTTATATTGTATGTACTAATTTGAATCAATTATTATGACGATTATTTTTGGATATTGAGGAAAAATATTTTATATATAAAGGCTGTATTAAACTTTTATAGAAGGTAATACAACAACATTATAATACAACCGATAATACAAAATACTAAAAACAAATTTTAAAGAAATTTAAAAAAAATACTGCTTGATTTTTATACAAATAAAGTACAAACTTAGAATATATAAAAATATGACACATTGATGCAATGTTCTTATAAATATATAATTAAGTTTTTACGTTTTATTTAATCATTTTGGTTATAATGGAAATAGATTATTATGATTAATTTTGACTAGTCACTTGAATGTCATTATAAACGGTTTATACTGTTACAGAACTTTTTTCTTACAAGAATGATATGAGAAGGGAGGTCATCTGGTGATGGACTCCAATGTGATTATATAAGTGTTATATAAGTAGAATTCCTCACAACTAACATATAAAGTTCAATACTACCTTCGACTAACTATGGATAGCACCACATCGTTCACAGCATTTAGGTTTTTGGAGGGGAGGAATATGGGGAATTTGTCAACCTGGCTTTTCGAAAATTTTTTTAAAAGCAGAGTAGGTACATTAAATTACTATACCTATAACAAACTGAAAGTGGCTATATGAAAAAAAGGTCACAATTGTAATAAATCCAGTTAAGCCACGTTAACAAATATTATATTTTATGTATTAAGAATTATTAAGAAACTTTCTCAAACTTTCCAACTGAAATAGTGAGTCAAGTTATATAAAATAAATAGAAAGTCACAATAAAACTCAAAGTGCAATACAAATTTTGGTTTTATGATATTGGCCGTGCAAATCAAAAAAGGTAGTGGTGTAAGTTATGACAATTAATACTCAACGTACAGTAGAAATTTCAGTTTTATGAATGTGGTTTAAGTTAAAACCCTTTCAAGCTAGGTATCACAAGAGGGAGGGTGAAGTTGAACATTTGGGTGTGCGCATTTTCCTTTGTTAGAACAATGAAGCTAATTTCGACATTGTAGGCGCACGTGCAGATTTATAGAATCATCAAAGCTAAGGTATATCTCAGAATGTCTAAATACTGCTGACTTACGCGTCGCACCACTTTTATTCTAACCACCACATAGGTATATTAACCTATTTTAAGTTTTCAAAAATAATAGAGAAAAACCATACCTACTCTATTCTTATTAAATTATTGAACTCTATATGTTAGTTCCATTATGCATAAGGCATAATGAAAAAAATCTAGAAATATTGTACTAAATATTGAAGACCTGAGAGCAAAAAAAAAACATCTCCATAAGCATTATTAAGAAAAAACTGAGTAGTTTGGTGCAACAACCATACATATCCGATTGTTAAATACCGAGATATTATATAAATGGAGGTGTCTGGTTTTTATTTAAGTGCAACAACAAGGAATCTCCAAGTTTAATTTTTTTTGTTATCATTTGAGATCATATTAATTTGATTTTAACAATATTTTTAACTGGCTATAACTTATATGAATTGAAGTTGGATCTAAATATATTTTTTGTTAATTTTCAAAACTACTATTACATTTTTAAAGAATTTTAAGTGGCTCCCAAAAAATGTATTAATTTGAGATGTATTGATGTTGCTCTCAAGTCATCAATTATTAAATGTCATAATACAGCTCTTTTTACAGATAACTGTGGACATAAGATACAGTTTTAAACCATTGTTCCTTTCAAAATAATTAGTTTTTACACTACATAAATTGAAGACTTTTTTTTAAGTCTTTGTTAGTATATAAATATTTGAATAAAATGTGTGTGTGTAATACAGTCGGACTTGTTGAACACGAAGTTGAAAGGACTGTCCAAAAAGTTCCAGTTATCCAAGGATAATACAATAATAGAAAATCCTGGGGATCAGGAAAAAGTTTGAGGTATCAATGATTTTGAATTAAAGGAGTTCAAGTTAATCAAGTCCGACTAATTGTTTATAAAAACTGTATCGTATATGTGTCGTTGGTATTTAATATAATACAATTATTTCAATACCTACTTCACTCTATTCGTATATATATGTATTGTGCGTGTAATCATTGTTCATATTAAATCATTTTTAAAACCGTGGCTCGGAAAATGTAGCTATTTCTATATGGTATAATTAATAATAAAAATAATTCGACGTTTTTCGATAGGAGTATAATCAATTAGGTAGTATAAAATATAAGAACCAAAAAATAATTAAGCGGATTTATGAATAATTTAAAAATATGATAATTAAATGATAGTATTATCATCCGGGCTGACGGTCAATGTTATTTGAATATGGACAATTTTAAAAAATCGTACTTACGATTGTAAATTTCATGTACGTCGAAATTTTCAAAAATCTAACAAATTCTTACAGCTGCTGTTGTAGTTGTAATCAATTTATTTTTCCGCATCAACGCGATAAAAGTAATATAAGTACTCGGATTTATTAGCGGAAATGTAGGGTAAAGTAAAACAATATTATAATTGGCGGACCACAGTGCCGGAAGAGCACGAAAAACCAAAACGAAATATACAGCACGCTTATATAAAGGCATATCTGAGTACCTAACTTTAAATGTAGATTAGAAAATAGGTAAATAAAAAAACGCATGGGGGTATGTTTTCCCTACAGGACGAAGACGCCATGCTGACGTTACAGGGAAATCGCACTACGTTACAGTTTTCCGAGCCCCAGCCTATATTACATAACGTATACTTATCCCGTATACGGTCACGCACCTGTAGCAAGTCTTGTGCAACGCTCCGGAGTAAAACTCCAGTCCGATGATTGCGAATATGATGATAGCAAATAACACCAATAAACCAATCTGGAGTAGCGGAGCCATCGCCTTGATGATGGACTTCAGCACGACTTGCAGACCTATACAGGGAGAAAAAAAAACACACACGGGGGTTACGTCTTGTCAGCAAGACGGTTATCGGTTGCGTCTAGCCAACCATTTATTATGTATAGTACGATAGTATAATAAATTTCCTCAAATAATAATCGGTCGAAGGCAATATTACTCGCGAATACGTATATATAATAATATAATATTATGTAAGTTATAGCACAGAGTATATAATATGCAATACATTGTTGTACGGCGCGTAGGTATACATATGATTTTTTCCGACGCAAGGCGGCGAAATCAATAGGTAATAATATTATATCAGGCGATATAATAATATTAAAATGAATAGATTCAATACGATTTTACGCTACCAATTCAGTAAAAACCACTACCGCACGCTGTACAATAACATTAGAAGAGCGTAAACTAGGTGTGTATAAAATATAATAATATAATATCATATGATATACGTATATACGATGCATCGACGCGACCATTATTATTGGATGTTACCGTTCAACGGGAAAATGTTTATTTTTCGGTTTTTTTCTTTCGTTTTTATAGTTATTTTCTCTGTCGACACCTTCATCATCTGAATCAGTGGTGACGTGGTTGGGGGGAAGTTAGGGGAATGGGGGTCTGCGAGGTTACGGGCAAACCCCGCTCTCTCTCTCTCTCACTCTATATATATTAGTCGTTTCCGTCGTGTGCATGTATTTGCGGTGTACTCACTTGGAATTCCGGAGACCAATTTGAGCGGCCTCAATACCCGGATCGCTCGCAGCGTCCGCAGATCCATGTTTGCCGCTGACGGTATTTGTGTTATACATCTGTGGCAACAACACTTCTAATCACTACTCAGTGCGCTACCTACCCCAAAATAAACACGCAATCCGTTCTATTCATCTAGTTCTATGCGTCTATATGTATATAGTTAATAAATAATGTATCTGGACGTGTCTATATAATAATAATAATAATAATAATAACAATAATAATAATAATAATAATATATAATATATCTGTTCGATATGGTCGTGCGCGATGGTCCCGAATACAAAATAATAATAATAATAATAATAATAAAAAAATTGTAATAATAATAATATATGATAGTATATAATATATATATAAAATATATATGTATATATATATATTTATATATATATATAATATGTAATAATATATATATAGGTAGTAATATAATAATAATAATAATAATAATAATAATAAAAAATAAAACAAACCGGAATCTACGGATCGAAATACAAGATTATTTAAGATACGTTCAAATATAGCAAAAATAATGTCGGTATATATATATATATAATATTTATGTATTACGCATTAATTATTTTATTATTCCGTGTGTTAACCATTTTAAGTTTGCTGCCGGGAATATTTTCGAAAAAAAGTACTGGGACAGGGCCGAGGTTGTGATGACAACGGTTTTTTTAACGACGACACGCGCATATAATAGAATATGTGATAATATGGTGATGACATATATTATTGTGTTCCCGTTTCCAATTTATTTTTTATACTCGCGGCGTTTCCTGATTTTGACCGATTTACAAAATATTATAAACTGCCACTATAAATAGACCAATAATTTTCTACGTTCGCCAACATTATCGTCCACTATATTCCTAATGTTTAATATATTATATGTATTAATATTATGCTCTGATAGCAGTATATTGAAAATACAACATATAATATTAAAACATAAAAATTTAAATAGGTATATACGATTCAAAAAAATATAATCTACGATATTAATATTTATTATAATATAATGTATAATATTATCTACGGTTGACTCGCTCAAGTCAACGATGACGTGCAGATTTCTAATAGAAAATTATTTTATATTTCGAGGTATATTATTAATCGTATAATATCAATATATATAATATATATGTATTATTCATAAAAAAAAACAAAATATATATAATCGATCAACAGCTTTATACAAAATATATATATATATATAAATAATATAGACCCGTTTTGTTATTATAATTCTATCTAGTTTTCTAATACGCCTAATCGGATCTAAATGATGTATGAATACTGTTATAAATCTGTTCGAATCAAGCCGAATAATAATATATAATCCAACTACAAATCGATCAACTGTATCAACGGTAGTTCTACACGGGAATTTCTATCATCCAGCAAAAGTCCAAAAGAATAATATATATTATGTATATATGTAAATATATATAATATATGTATATATATATATATGTATAAAAGTTCGCAAACCAACGGTTACGGTCTAATCCGATATTCGGAATATGTCTATACCAAATGCAATACGCCTACAAAAACGGGTTAAACAAATGGTTTTACTGAAAAATAATAGAACATTCGAGGATTTTTATTGTGTCAAAAATGCTTTCCTGTGATCCTGGGACATTTCGAGTGCCTTACTTGGGATTCTCGAAACCAGTTTCAAAGGCCTGAGCACCCGAAAGGACCTCAACATCCTCATGTCCAGCATGTTGGACTCCATGAATTCAGTCATTGACCTAGAAATCGGTAAACCCCTGAGTCCAATGTATCCCTAGCCGATTTAAAATAGTTTTTCTTAACATATACGTTTTGTTCTAATTTTTTTTTCTTAGATTTCGTGTCTATTTTTTAAGTATTTTTTTTTTCATTATAAAAAAAAAAATTTAAAGTATTATCATAATAAAACAATGTACTCACCCTGTTACAACTACAAAAAAGTCCATAATGTTCCATATATTACGAAGATATGAGCCGCTGTGCAGTAAAAAACCTAAAGCTAATATTTTGAGAGTCGCTTCGACGCAAAAAATTGCTAGGAAAACGAGTTCGGTTGCCTCCTGAAATTATTACACGAAACAAAACGTTTTAGTACAACAGAAAATACCAAACCAAAAACTAAAATTCGTTTTAAAAGGTGTAAAACATGTGCGATGACACTCGGGTGTTTTACCAAAGTCTTAGCAAGTACAGTCTTGTCTCCCCTGGGCAGATGTTCCTCCAGAGCCAACACCACGCAGTTGGCTATGATGGTTAACAGCACCGCATATTCGAACGGAGTGCAAAATAATTGAATTAAGAAAAAATACAGTAATAAAATTACAATGTCTTGCACAAATACGAAAACAATTACACTATCACCGAAAATATAATATATATTATTTATCCCCAGGACTTTGGCTTATGGGAATAATATAAGACGGCGGGAGCATAGCACGGCCATAAACTCGAAACACGAGGTCGTAATAAGGTGTTTAAACGATATTGTATATAGGTACCTTTATACACAAAAAGACCATCGAAAACGAAAGTACAATACTGGGAGCATACTATTGGTACATAATATAATATGTATGTTATTACGACAACGTCAAGTTATTGACCTTGAACATGTTTCGGTGCGTGTTTCGGGACTCATAAACACTTAACTGGGACGGGCGGTAGAAGAATAAGAGAGTGAGTGTGTGTGTGTGTGTGGGAGTGAGAGAGAGAGGAGACTATAAAATAATTTCCACTAAAATCCAAACAGTGTCACGTCCCGGTCTCTCATGGAACTGGCGTGCGTGCAAGTAGAGAAAACAACCCTTGGGCTTATATACTAGGCTTTGCACGAAAATTTCGCACACAGGGTTTCCCACTATAGGTACCATCTATACCTACTTATCTAATGTGAGCTTATAATTTATATTACACTGACACACACACACACACACACACACACACACACGTTATTAGATGTAAAACAGGACGACCAATGGTATACGTAATTTGATCTATAATAGGTGGTTGGTGACAAATCCCTAGTATTGTAGTTATATGAAACGAAAAATATTTATTTTAAATTCACATATAATACCTATAAATGCATGATACGCGTATCGGAATTCCAAAATATACTACCTATCGGAGGCAAAACGTTAACGACCAGTCTGCTCCATAACTATATTAACGTCACGGACTCTATCGTAGATAATAAATAAATGGGTGGGTCATCCCTATACCTTATACATGGAGGATTCTGTGATAATTGATAATATTAAATGTTACTATTTTTTCCTCGGCGGAGAGTACACGATCTGCACCTTCTGCAGTGTCAGATGGGTGAGGTGAGTGTGGGCCACGTGCGTTATTCAGATATAAATTAGTGATGTTATGACGAATTGGGCGTTTCAAAAGGATATGGCCATTCGATGATGAACCTGGTGTACCGGCGGACGGGGTTGTCGGTGCTGAACAGGAACAAGGACGACGGCCCGGGGGGCGCGTCCGCCTGCTGGTGGTGGTGATGGTGGTGATGGTGGTGGGACCGTGGCCTCCCCATGCCGGCGGATGTTCCCGCCGACCCGATGCAGTCACGTCCCGCGGCCGCAGCGACTTCCTTCTCCGCCGCCAACCTATTAAAACGACAAACAAGACGTCCAATATAAATAATATGTGTGGATTAATTTAACTGTGTATATTTCGTAAAATATTATAACATATAATATGCAATACGAGGCAGCGATTGTTGCACTAATATTAATAATAATCAATACGATAAGTAAACAGATACGCGTGTACCGGTGCAGTGTACCAAATGATAGAACTAATACGTTTTGTGCATCGTGAATGATGCGATTGGCTCGTTGAGAACCACTTGATAACGCTAACACCGGGTCGTTGATGTGAGATACCCAGCAGTGACGAAAATTGGTCGTACCTATAATAGGTTATTGTACGTAATTGTTTTTAATATACAAGTCGTGTAGTGTTAAAATTACCTATGTATATAATATTGTATATACAGTAGAACCTCTACAATAACTCTAATAGGTCGAGGACAAAAAGAAATCGAATCATCAAAAATTCGAGTTATAGAAAAAGTGTAATGTACATATTGTAATGTGGGGTCCAAGATAAATATTCCTTCGAGTTCTTGAAAACTGGACTTAGTTATTGGTAGACATTCGTGTAGTCGAGTATCGAATCGTCGATAAAAACGTCGTGGCAATTAATGAGACACTAGACAATGGAAATTTAGGTACCTATAGCTGTAATAATTATAAGACAAAAGTATACCAAAATATCACATTGTATAATATATTTTGTCACAATATTAAACATATTATTTTGAATTTCAAAATCAATCTCCTCATAACAATTCGAATTTCGTCTTGCAGTGAATTTTCGTTCTCACCCGACGATATGCTAAAAATGTAAGAACAAAACTTTCGTAGTCGGACTACTCTACCTGGATCGTCACAACATCAACAAATTCTTGAAAATAGTTTTAGAGAAATATATAATATACCCGAAACGATTACTACCCATTTAGTGTAAATATAATAATAATAATTGTTTTAATATTAACAGACATCATAGACGACGAATGAAATCGATTTTAGACAGACTTAAAATATATTACATTTTCAGAAAACGATAAAAATAATTGAACAAAATCCATTAAGAACCGTGGCAGTTTGTTTTCGTAAAACGTACAGTTATTATTATTGGCGGTTGAACGGGAGGAAATCGATACGCCCTATTATTGCATGCAATCTGCAGAACCCTTGTAACACTCGCGTACCTATTACGTATATACGACTATAGCATTGAAAATGAATTTCAATATAATATGGATTTACCGGCAAAGAAGCAAAACGTACAAATCGCGAATTAAAAAACAAACTGTGACTTACAAATTAGACTTTAATAACGATTTAACATTTCATCGCATCTTTTGAAAAATTAATTAATTCTTATGTTTACTCTCTCTCTCTCTCTCTCTCCCTCTTATAATATCGAAGTAACGCTCAATATTGTCCGATATTATTGGACATGAAGACTTTGAAAATCGTGTGCGATAAGACAGGTATTTCGTTTTTCTTTTGTGGTACAAAACTTGGGTGTCTAATGTGCACTATTTCTACTCTTTTTCTCTCTTCCCTTGATACTAATTATCAGTGGCGCCGAACCCCCCTAACAAGTGTTGTTAAAACAATAGCTTAAATGGGCGGGCGGTCCTAGGGGTTCAGCCCCTAACGGTCATTATCTACCAGTGCGGTGTTGGCCTCGGTACCTAGGGTAGTCGGGTACTCGGGTGGTATATAAGAATATAAGGTAATAGGAATAATAATTGTATAAAACTATGAACGTACAACATAATCAATACTCAATATGTACGAATCACTATTATTCCCCTAAAACCAGTATCAGTGATGTTATAACAGCTGTATGTATGTCCCTCAAGAGTATTATGAATACTGTTTTGGTCTTCGGACGATTATTGTTCAGTGTGTAATCAGTTATATAATTATTATACATTATCTGTGTTTTATCATCAATTAGTAATTAGATAATATATATTTTATAATAATCAATAACAATGATGGTGTGCATATGGTGTTTTTTCAATCGGATCAGATAGTTGTGCTTTTCTTTGTCCTTAGATCAAACAATATCTTTAATAAAAAAACAATTAAATAGGTACTACCAAAATGTTATATTAGATTCCACCGTCGGAGCTTTTTACTTAGTAGTTTGATACGAAACAAAATACATAAACATATATTTTTTTATATCTCCCGGCATAATACTAGGTACGATATATAGGTACTTTCATTCTATCCTGAGTCATCTTTCATACATCTTTTATGCAATTTAATGCCTATGACCTATATTCATGTTGTTCCCAAGTATGTAGGTATATATTGTATATTATAGTATAGGCATTCATAAATTACCATCTTTAGTATTTTATTATACGATGTTTTCCTAACCATTTTTTTTAGCCTTTGATGTAATACGATTATTGAAAGCTAACAACAATATTATGTAAACATCTTATTTGTAATTCATTGGATAATAGAAAATTGGAAAGATATATATTATGAATAGTATAATAGAATATAATAAAAACAAATTTACATAGTACCTAACTTGTAGATTTATAAATTAATTAAATTATATTTTTTTTTCGTTCGTATTTTTTCAGATGATTATATAATATGCTTGAATGTGATACATATACGATAATAATACCGTGGATATATCAAATTCCAAACATCAAGTGCGCCAATTTTGTAATAATTCCATTAATTTTAATTATTTTGGAAATCTTCGTGGGCACCTTTATATTTATATACATATTAAATAATTGTATACACTGTAGTACTGTATGGTGACAACAATTAATTCCTGAAACGAGTCTTTAAAAAATAATAATGGGTTGGAAAGGGGGGCATTTAGTAGGACTGATAAATTAAATTATTTGACGAAAAAAATGTATTACAAAATCGCCGTAAAGTATTTACATAGGTAATATATTAAATATATTTTTATTCATTTTGTCTAGATAATTAAATAATGTTTGATGTTAAATCCATCGCTTACGGTAACAAATTGAATAGTATACAACTATCATTGACAGTAGAATATTATTAGTGTGGGAAATAAGTCACATGGACGTTGACCGCGTAATAATGTTAATGTACAATTTAGCGACCATAATATAAAAATCGTGGTCATACACATTATACCCATTGATTACCTTAGATTAATATTATTTAAGCGACAAAATGGTTAAAACGCGTGCAAACGAATTAAGTCGTTTCAATTATCATGTTGTGTATAAACATTATATTATTATTATATAATACGCACTTAATATTTCCCTGGAGTAACAATTTCGAAATAACCTGTTTTTTTATATAGCATTAAAAAGATTTTTTAATCGGTAATCACGGATCTTTTTATAGCACCCCGGTGAACGTGACATCTTTATTCTCTGAGACAATAATAATTATGATTACAACTTACAAGTAGTGAGTATACAGAGTGTCCGATATTAGAGCGTTTGAGCTTGGGTTTTCGGGATGTGAAAATGAAGTTTACATAATCCCTCCACTCGAAAAAAGGACAGGCGTCTTGCGACATTCTGTATGCACATGTACTTAATATAATAACTTACACACATACACGAGTGAGTGTACACTATGTGAATGGTATTCATTTAAAAATTTAAGTTTTATCACGTAGTTTAAAAGCTGAATAGTTCGCTAGTCGTCAACGTGATTCATAATCAACTTTATTTCACGATGCGTCAAAAGATATTAAACACGGTTCATTAAAAAGAGATAAAAAAAACTGTTTGTACTTAAAGCAAGTAGACGTTATACGAGTTATAAGAAGCATTATATGTTATCCTCAAATCTCTATTCAAAAACCTTGCATCCATGTAGTTTGTCCCCATACGGTTCAAGAAATAAAAAATATTAATCAAGTACCACCAAGTACTATTGCCTAAGTGAAACAACTTGGCACGGCTCATTTGCAACAAACCAGAAAATCGATACAAATGTATAATATTGATGAAAATGAAAAAAAAAAAGTATAATTTATTATTTATGGTATATAATATTATTAAATTATATATTTTTGACATGATTAGCAAGTGACTAATAAGTTATAAGTCATAACAATAATTATATTTAAAGTTATTTTTCATGTTTCTAATCCAGTATAATTTATTATATAGGAAAATAAATAGTTACATCATAGTGATGTCAAATTTCCCTAATATGAGTATCTAAATAAAAACAAAATAATCCTTGCTTGAGCAATGCGGCAGTGTATTCATATTTTAAAAATTAAAACTTAATCAGTAAAGCAATACTTAAACAATATACATGTACAATAATAACGACTAATAGAAGAACAGTAATACTGTTTACATAGAAAATTGACTTAATAAAATGTATCTTTCGGTAATAATTTACCGGACAGGCTGCAGTAAGAAATCACACAAGATGTATGCATTGTAAAAAAAATGCGACTTCTAAAATAAGTAATAATTATTTTGGAATTCAAAACTGCTCACTTTCGACCGATTGGCTACAATAAACACTATTTACCTATTTAATACCTGAAATGGTAAATATAAATACAAGGAGACCGTCGACACAATTTTGTCGTGGACGTCCTACGCAATCAAGAATCTATAGAGGACCGAAAAACCACGGCGTTGTCTGTAGGGGTATTTTTAATCTCTCGGCACAGGATTCGCTGACAATCTTTAGGGGCCGAGGGGTGAATTGTTTTGACAGGGATGGTCTGCACATTTTCAATTAATATAGAATAATATATATTGTATGTTGTATCATATTATGGCTTATACGTCTAGACCCGAAAATGTATGGGAAATTATTCATGGGTATTTAATAATGATAATAATATGTGCACATGGTTTTCATCTTATTTATTTTTAAAGCTAAACTTAACTGACCGATATCCCAAGCCATACATTGTTGGTATATGGTTTTACTATAAGGGATAGGTACTCGT